GTGTGGTTGAGAGAGATTTCCTTGTACCCACGGCTTTTTCTGTGGGGGAGGCTTTACTCTCTTTCAAGTGGTTCGTATCGAATATCAGACACCTCGTTCTCGTCATGAAACCTTTTGGTGCCACTCGGTGCTGTGGAAGCCGACGCATCCAACAAGGGACCGGATGCCACTGGCCTCTCCCCGGTCGTTGCAGATGCATCCTCTCGGATGGTTTTGACTTGTTCCGTCGTGACTTCTTGCACTGGAGCCGGAGCGACCTTGACATATTGTGGCACTGTTCCACCAGGAAGCAAGACCCCGGCTTGAATCAATGCTTCTGTGCTTCCATAATGAATGGTGATGGTTTCCACCAACTCTCCTGGTTTGTATGTGGTGCACTCCTCTGTGAATTTCTGCTCAAAACGAGCCTTTCCCTCTCGTGACCTCAAGACAGCGACTGGTTCCATGCTTCCTTCGGTCTTGTTGGAATCTTGGGAGTTATCCTTGTCTTTTGCATTATTCGCTCCTTTGCTGCTGACTTCCTCCTCCTCGACTTCCTGAACTGAGGAATTGGCAGAGATGGAAACCGCTGTTTCCGCTACCACGGTCTCTTCCTGGGTAAGGGCTGGAACCGTGGCATATACACGCTTTTGATATCCCGTGAAGACGGCTTTGGATACTTGCACTTGTACATTTCCCATGTGCAAACGAGGTGGACCGGTCTTGGCGGGTGCCTCGGAGGACGGCACATCTCTCTCGGTGGCGGTGGATGCCACCGAACCCGGCTTGGCAGCAGGTGCTTCGTCAAACTTGAGTGCTTGATTTGTACCAATCCCATTGATATAGGTCCAGAGACCGACATCTCTGGCACCCTGTGCCTCGGTCAAATTGGTGTAAAATCCCAGATCTTTTCCATCGACTGACGGGCGGAAATAATACATGCTCGATCCATGGTCGTCATTCTCCTTGTTGGTACTCTCTTCGGACGTCTTTTCCTCGTGTAGCACGTGAAATCTCAAAAAGTATTCCCCACCGGGTTTGGCTTGAGCGTAATGGACGACACCGCTGGGACCAATGTACTCTTTCAAAGGCTGCTGCGTCTCCGCGTCCACGAGCTGCAGCGAGAATCCGCGTTGGACAACCATTTTGGATATTAGTGAGAAAAGACAGAGATTCCAAAAAGGAAAAGCGCCACTTCTCTGCAAGCAAAGAACCAGTTGTTAGTAACTTAGAGAGATGACAGATACTTTATTGCGACACTGAGGCTCGTTTTGGGAAGACGATGTAGATAGCTAGCAAGAGCGGTAGCACGGTAAGAGCGTGGGTGGCTGCAAAGCTCTTGTGAATGCTTTCGTCTCTTGCATGCATGCTCCGCTGTTTGTGTCCGTTTGGGTACTTTTAAGCTTTTATTTATGTGTATGTTCCTCCCCATGGCAAGATGGATGAGGTTCGGTGTTTCAGGAAGCATAAATATAATTTAAAGCAGGAGTGCATCATGTGACTAACAGGTCAACGAGCCAAGATAAAGATTTAATCAAAATGTTGAAGATTACTCGGAAGTGTGTCCGATCGATCCGTCCACAAGAAAGGCCGCGGTTGTTCCAGTATGACTGCTCAGTCATGCTACGGCTGTACCGTACAATCGGGCAGCATGGTCTTTCCACATGCATGCACACCGAAGAACCTTTGAACCAGGGCGGTTCAAATTCACAAGTTAGCTAGCTAGGATGGATTGAGAAAGAAGAGGTCTCCGGTGGCGCCAACCACGGAAATTGAAATGAGTGCTGTCAGTTGCTTCGCCAACTGGCATGGGCTTGCTTTACTAGCAAGACGGCGATAGGGAACCCTAGCAGCACTGCTTCCAGCTAGAGCTATCCTGACTTCAGCCAGTTAGGATTAGCTAGCTACCAACAACTCTCCAGCTAGTGATGTTGGTCCTATGGCCAGTCCGCCAATGATACCATATCTCTGTGTGCAGTTCCTAATCTACGTGGATCCATACCGGCATGTCTCCATGCTCGCGCAAGTGGAGCGAGAGCGCTAGTTCTACTCCACTTCCTTTCGCGCTCTATGTCGTCTTAATTTTTCCAGTCGTATTTCGATACTCTAGATATCCATTCGTTCCACTTCATGAACGTTATTTAGGTTCCCCAGTCGCATATGCTACATGCCTACGACCTGGACCCTCGGAACCGTACCTAAGCAAGAGCTACTTAGTACCCGGGCACCGGAACGATACTTTACAAGCTAAAGTTACTGTACTGGACCCGGATGTACCTCACCACGCTAAACTCTCTCAGATCTTCTCCAACTTGCTTCCATCATAATACCCAGTTCTAGTCAAGTACCATGGCTCTGCTAACTTACTCGTACCTGGCCCTAAACGTACCTACAAGCTAGACGCTTACTACATGTAGTATTCAGACCTGGAACTGTACTTTACCAAGCTAAAGCTACTAGGACCCAGAACCGGATCCAGAACCAGAACCGTACCTGGTACCTCACCACGCTTAAAGCTACTACATATGGAATACTCCTCAACCTACAACTCAGAAAGGACATACCACCACAACAAAATTCGACTGCTAGTCATTACTAGGTTGTCGATTGAACATCGCTCTAGATATTTAGCCGGCGTGGATTAAGAAGCGCAATTTTAGGTAGTGCTAGAATCGCCATGCGTGCAGGTACCAAACGGCAACCAGCACGATCCCGATCCGTGAAGTAATTTCTTCCAAGAATGCGTGCAGTGATTGGAATAGGGATTGTGTGTTCCACATGGGCATGAACGAAGGCCCGCCCGGCAGGACTGCCTGCTTCACGATCTGGGATCCACTTTTTGGACCGTCTTTTCGGGGAGGCAAACCCTCTCTTTGTACAATAAACTATATCCGATTGGTAAGCGGCGGTTCCCCAGCACACGAATCCAAATCACCAGCCAGTGCGCTAGCTAGTACTATAGCAGCTAGTGTTGTGCTAGCCAGCTTGCAGCCATGGCATCATCAAAGAAGGAGTTGAGCAATCTCACATGCAACAGAACAGGCGCTGCCACCAACTGATTCAGAAAGCCCTTGGTTTGGACCTTGCTTTCAACCTATAGGTGCTAGACAGAAAAGAACAAGGGCCAGAGCTGATCAACTTGGTCTCACTGACACCGTCGGCCCGCAAAAGCACCAAAGAAAGGCAGATAAGAGGAAAAGATTCCAGGGCAGCATTCCAAGGATTGCAGGAGAGGATGCCCATGCCAGGCCTCACTCCAAGGTAGTGTGGTTCCAAAGGAAGACAGCAACCATCGGAAACCTGCAGAAATCCTCGAATCGGCAAAAAAAGGGTGCCGATGGGGAAGGAAATGGGGAGCTAGATGTGGATGGTGATTTCCCTACCAAATTGATCGTTTCAACGCGGATTCGGATAGTGAGCCTACCAGTGAGGACAGTGAGCTCAGTTTGGGAGGGTCAGTTGCCACATTCAAGGTGACAACAAAGAGACTTGGATGATACCGGCCCCCAGACAAAGCAACATAAACGCATCAGAGCCTACTGTGTCAAAGCAAAGAAATTACCCGAGTAACCGATTCGGAGAAGCGAGGGGTCAAACTAATGGATATCTCCGTAGGAAAAGGAAACATCTGGATACCTATGATGTGTACTTGCTTGGCATTTTGGAGGAAACTGGGTCGCTAATGGACAACGAAAAGCTGGAAAGAATCCAGACTAACTCAGCAGGAAAAAACTGACCCGAATTCTTAAGGAAAGTACAACATGAGCGACAAGTTACCGTTTGAAAAGGAGATAGTCCTTCCTCATTGCAATGCCGGATCAAAGTCATTTGCTTCAGTGTCTCGAATTGTGTGGAGCAATTCTTACCGATCCACGCCTTAAGATGAGGATTTCTGCGACGGGATAAGATTACATTCAGACTTTACAGCTTGTACAATTTAGTAGGCTTATTCTAGAAACTAATCAACATATGCTCACTTATTTGGAAATACAAACTTTACATCTCTTAATCCTTAGATTTAATCAATGCACAATGGTATTGTCGCATGGTAGCATGCAAGGTATCTGAGATGTTACTCATTCTATATCTTATTATGTCTATCCCTTGTGGTTATCAATTGATTTCGCTACTCCTTGATCAGACTGTCCTGAGTTTCCTCTGCATTCTTCATCTGTAGCTTGTAATCTCTTGATACCCCTCTTATTTATCCTGTTGACGATCATAATATCAATGAGGATCCTATCTTAGATTCGCTCGAAAGCTACTACGCCGTACATCCACGTTCCTCCTCGTTCGTTACCTTTGAATCGAAATCGCGATGAGGATCATTATTATCACGTTGGACTTCATGCAGGTAGTCCAACCTTTTTACTATCCGAGCGCTAACAAGCCGCTACTGTTACTGTTACTTTTACTGTTACTGTTACTGTTACTGCTACTACTATATCCCTATCACCGCTAATACTGTCCCTATTTCCGCAGTATCCGTGTAATCTCGTCGTGATCCAGTAAAGATCGATAGATCCGATTACAAGTTAAAGAATTCATCGAAAAATGAGACTCCGACATGCATAACATAATTCCTGGCTAGCTGTGTGTCAGGCTTCGATGTCTGCTTGTGTTATATCTTCTCGATTGTCACCTCGTATTGATCGGTTCGAAATTTACCCTTGAGTCTTATGCTTGATCGATGTCAAGTTCCTCATTCTTTTCATTAACTCGACGTACACCGATACGTACGTGTTATCATCAGTAAAGAACAACAACATCGCGGGCGATAGATCGCTCGCGTCGTTTGTGTGCTGATCAATCGGCAGTTGGCTCTGCTTACCAAGGACGGCAATTGGTCGTTCTGGTGTGGCTTGCACGCGAACGGCTTGCAGTTTTGTCGTTTTGAAGGATTCGCATTACGGTACGGTGTCGGGCAAATCGATCCTCGTACGAGAGGCGATCAGCGAATTTATCTCTATGTCATTTCAAACTGAGCGCGCCTGGATCCCAAATCGTGAAGCAGGCAGTCTTGCCGGGCGGGCCTTCGTTGCATGCCCATGTGGAACACACAATCCCGATTCCAATCACTGCACGCATTCTTGGAAGAAATTACGTCACGGATCGGCATTGTGCTGGTTGGCGTTTGGTACCTGCACGCATGTCGATTCTAGCACTACCTAAAAATGCGCTTCTTAGATGCCACGCCGGCTAAATATCTAGAGCGATGTTTCATCGACAACCTAGTATGACTAGCAGTCGAATTTTGTTGTGGTGGTTGTCCCTTTTTCTTGAGTTTGTTAGGGTTAGGAGTATCCATTGTAGTAGCTTTTAGCGTGGTGAGGTACCAGGTACGGTTCTGGTTCTGGATCCGGTTCTGGGTCCTAGTAGCTTTAGCTTGGTAAAGTACAGTTCCAGGTCTGAATACTACATGTAGTAGCTCTAGCTTGGTAGGGTACGGTTAGGGGTCCAGGTACAGTAGTTTAGCAGAGCCATGGTACTTGACTAGAACTGGGTATTATGATGGAAGCAAGTTGGAGAAGATCTGAGAGAGTTTAGCGTGGTGAGGTACGATTCCGGGTCCAGGTACTAGTAGCTTTAGCTTGGTAAAGTACCGTTCCGGGTCCGGGTACTAGTAGCTCTTGCTTAGGGTACGGTTCCGGGTCCAGGTACGGTAGCTTAGCAGAGCCATGATACTTTGACTGGAACTGGGTATTATGATGGAAGTTGGAGAAGATCTGAGAGGATGGCTAGGGTTGTCACTGGCTGGGAACTGGGGATGGAGCTAGTTTTGGGAGAACTGCTAGGGATATGGTATCATTGGCTGGGACTGCCAAGGAGCCACATCACTAGCTGGGAGAGTTGTTGGTAGCTAGCTAATCCTAACTGGCTGAAGTCAGGATAGCTCTAGCTGGAAGCAGTGCTGCTAGGGTTCCCTATCGCTGACTTGCTAGTAAAGCAAGCCCATGCCAGTTGGCCAAGCAACTGACAGCCCTCATTTCAATTTCCGTGGTTGGCGCCACCGGAGACCTCTTCTTTCTTTCAATCCATCTAGCTAGCTAGACTGTGATGATTGAACCTCGCCCTGGGTTGTGCATGCATGTTGGAAAGGGAAGCCATGGGCTTCCCGATACGGTACAGCCGTAGCATGACTGAGCAGTCATACTGGAACAACCGCGGCCTTTCTTGTGGACGGATCGATCGGACACACTTCCGAGTAATCTTCAACATTTTGATTAAATCTTTATCTTGGCTCGTTGACCTGTTAGTCACATGATGCACTCCTGCTTTAAATTATATTTATGCTTCCTGAAACACCGAACCTCATCCATCTTGCCATGGGGAGGAACATACACATAAATAAAAGCTTAAAAGTACCCAAACGGACACAAACAGCGGAGCATGCATGCAAGAGACGAAAGCATTCACAAGAGCTTTGCAGCCACCCACGCTCTTACCGTGCTACCGCTCTTGCTAGCTATCTACATCGTCTTCCCAAAACGAGCCTCAGTGTCGCAATAAAGTATCTGCCATCTCTCTAAGTTACTAACAACTGGTTCTTTGCTTGCAAAGAAGTGGCGCTTTTCTTTTTTGGAATCTCTGTCTTTTCTCACTAATATCCAAAATGGTTGTCCAACGCGGATTCTCGCTGCAGCTCGTGGACGCGGAGACGCAGCAGCCTTTGAAAGAGTACATTGGTCCCAGCGGTGTCGTCCATTACGCTCAAGCCAAACCCGGTGGGGAATACTTTTTGAGATTTCACGTGCTACACGAGGAAAAGACGTCCGAAGAGAGTACCAACAAGGAGAATGACGACCATGGATCGAGCATGTATTATTTCCGCCCGTCAGTCGATGGAAAAGATCTGGGATTTTACACCAATTTGACCGAGGCACAGGGTGCCAGAGATGTCGGTCTCTGGACCTATATCAATGGGATTGGTACAAATCAAGCACTCAAGTTTGACGAAGCACCTGCTGCCAAGCCGGGTTCGGTGGCATCCACCGCCACCGAGGGAGATGTGCCGTCCTCCGAGGCACCCGCCAAGACCGGTCCACCTCGTTTGCACATGGGAAATGTACAAGTGCAAGTATCCAAAGCCGTCTTCACGGGATATCAAAAGCGTGTATATGCCACGGTTCCAGCCCTTACCCAGGAAGAGACCGTGGTAGCGGAAACAGCGGTTTCCATCTCTGCCAATTCCTCAGTTCAGGAAGTCGAGGAGGAGGAAGTCAGCAGCAAAGGAGCGAATAATGCAAAAGACAAGGATAACTCCCAAGATTCCAACAAGACCGAAGGAAGCATGGAACCAGTCGCTGTCTTGAGGTCACGAGAGGGAAAGGCTCGTTTTGAGCAGAAATTCACAGAGGAGTGCCCCACATACAAACCAGGAGAGTTGGTGGAAACCATCACCATTCATTATGGAAGCACAGAAGCATTGATTCAAGCCGGGGTCTTGCTTCCTGGTGGAACAGTGCCACAATATGTCAAGGTCGCTCCGGCTCCAGTGCAAGAAGTCACGACGGAACAAGTCAAAACCATCCGAGAGGATGCATCTGCAACGACCGGGGAGAGGCCAGTGGCATCCGGTCCCTTGTTGGATGCGTCGGCTTCCACAGCACCGAGTGGCACCAAAAGGTTTCATGACGAGAACGAGGTGTCTGTAGACGATACGAACACTGAAGATGGAGTAAAGCCTCCCCCCACCAAAAAGCCGTGTCAGGAAGTCAGTGTACTCAAACCTGAGCCCCTGTCAAAAACTGCTGTCTCTACCAAGTAGGCGTTTGTCAGAATGAGCGAACGTCGATCTTACGATATTTGAGTGCATCATTCAGCCTGTGAAGGATACTGTGAGATTTGGCTGTGGAGCATACTTTTGCTTGTGGTGAGTTGCTTCCACTTTTTCTTTACAGAAATGAATCAACCAAAGAGTCGAATCTTGAATTTGGTGATGTAGAATGGGGCATTTGGGCGACGTCCATTGTGCACCACAAGTAGGCAATGAAGATGTAGTTTCTACTCGAGTACCATTTTTAATGAAGCATAGATGACAGTGTCGTGAAATGCTGACCTCGTGGCCTCAGTTCGCTACGGTAGCTAGTAGGAGGGACCCGCAATTTTGCTTCTAGATGTCTGACAAAAGCTACTAGCATGAATTCAATTCACTTGAACAACACAACTTCCAGTTGCCGCTCTGTGTGCGGCGGTTTCCTTTGAGAGTGTGTGCTCATCGTTTGATTGTCATTGGCTCCCGGCCCGAGAGACTTGCTTCGGTGGCTGAGGCGCATACCGGTACATTCCCCGATGTGCTGGTTTAATGGTTTGGCCCAGTAAGTTTTGTGAAAGCTTTGGCTGAAGCCACGCAATTTGATGCAGGGATCTCGTCTGTACTATCCTAGCTAGCTAGCTAGAAGGCATCATCAGCTGAAGTTTGGAGCAGCAGGGGATCGATACAGCCAGAGAGAGCCAAACTTAAAATAGACTGTATTACAGGTTTCTTTCAATCCTAACACAATTGCCACCAGAGAACACACTACCAGTAGCTCCAAGCGCCGACTTGGAATGAATATCAATGATGTGGATATTGGAGGAGCAACCATTTAGAAGTTCTGTGCGTGCAATGATCAATCATATATTATATGGATGGATTACAAGCTGTTATTCATCTAGCTAGCTAGAGAGCTAGTAGTTACAAGGTTGTCTCCGCACTGCCAGAGAATACCTTTCGTAGGCACACTTTCAAGTGGACCGGATGGATAGACCCCTTTTCTGGTTCTCCAGTAGTGTTGCTGCGTGGAATAAGGTTTCGGTAGAACTCTCCTGTGGATGTTGTGGCAAGCTGTTCCTGGGAGTATCTCCAATAGACTACTTTGGAAATCGCATTGGTGTATTCCACCACCAGTTCTAGTTCCTTTCGTCGGACCTGAGCTACTTGATCAAGTGTAAAGTTGGATCGAACACATCGTCGAATAACTGGATTGTCAAATGCCTGGCCCAAAGTTGTGATCGGGTCGCTGTCGGTTGGGTTGGTAGGCACCGTAATATCCCTACGTTGTTCATTGTTGTCCTCTCGATAGAATCGTATGGTGAACGTGGTGGGACGACGGATGCTATTCCACAAGTTGTTGTTGTTGGTGGTGGTGATTGTTCCCCCACTTTGGGGGCGGACTTTCAACGATGAGTGTTGGTCAGCCATTCCATTTGATTTCCCGGTACTTTTCTGCCGCTTGTGTCGTTTTGGAGTCGAAGGGGAATCTTCTTCTTCCTCCCTGCTGTTGCCAATGGAAGAAATAGGAGACTCATTTCTGGCTAGCGACTTTGCGGTGAGTATAGCAAAAGGACGACGATTGCTGGCAGTTTTGGCTGACTTGGCTGCTGCTGTTTTTGGTGGGGTCGCAGCAGTGGATTTTTTGTTCCGTACGAACTGAGGTCGATGTGAAGGATGACATGGTGGGGAGTTCGACGTAAAAGTATGAACTAAAATAGAGGGGAATTACGCTACGAGGTAGATCTTCATTAGGGTTGAGGTTGATCTCGATGTGCAAACTCGATCACATCTCACACTCCCTCATCAACCGAGAACCATCTCGAAATAGTAGCGAATTCGTACTCAAACTGCATCTCGTCGTTTCGGTGTAACAATACTAAATGTAACATAGAATGGGGCCGGTTCCCCTTTTTTGTTGTCGTAGTCACTTCGCGAGCTCATTGTTGGGTCCAATGCGATGACGAGCGCTGATATGCTCTTTGAGCTCTTCGACGTCGTCAGCACTGACTCCAGGGTAGAACTCCTGGATTGCCTTGATGTAGAGGTGTACGGCAATCGCATCCACCGCGGGTGTGTGCCGGAAGTGGGCGAACTTGATGACACCACGCGTAAAGTGCTTCATAAGGGTAGCGTGGTCGACGTGAGCCCAGATCTCGCTCGGCTTGGAGTAGAGGTCGACCTTGTTCGACTTCTTGGTGACCTTTCTTTCAGCGATGATAGCGGGGCGCAGCTTCTCGAACTGCTCGAACGCGATCTTGGTTGGAGCAGTAGAACGCGCTCCAATGTCGATCATGCCGTCGCCCTGCTTGAACAGCTTGACCAAGGCGTCAGGATAATGCGAGTAGCACTCCATAGGAGCTGGCTTCTCGTCCTCAGAGTCCGACTTCTTGCGCTCGGCGGGAGTCACTGCACTGACTGCAGTGTCAACAGCCTCTTTGAACTCGTCGTTGTCCATCTTGGTCTTGAAGAGGTGACCGACGGCGTCCATCAAACCACCGTTCTCCACGAACTCCTCAATGGCATTGTTGATACCGGCCTCGATCATCTGATCGCACTCCGCTTTGGTGTAATAAGGGGTTGACTTCGACATGATATGCAAATGTGTAAATGTAGTTGCAGTTCGTAGTACTAGAACTTGTGAGTTCCACCATGAGTAGTGTGAATGTAGTGCTCCACAGCGTGCTCCCTCAGAGCGAAACGTCCACGGCGAGAACCATCTCGCTGTGATCGTTTCATGCTGTAGCGCTAGATCAAAACATTTAGCGTGTATCAATTCACATCAATCTCAAACGTGTCGGTGATGTTGAGAACACTCCTCAGCATTCCGAACCCTGTGTCAGTCCAAATGCGAACTCGCACTGAGGTCATTGCGCGCGACAGCGCGCTGCACGCACCGCACGGTTAAATGACCATTGTGACATCAAGATCGCATGGACGCACTCTGGCACGAAATCCAAGTCTTCTTTGGGGTGATCTCGTGGTGAAATCCTTGACATTGACGTCAAAGGCAACAACTGCATGAAATCAAAGAGCTCATCAGCACAAACTCGTCCCCAACCATGGTAGCACGAGCTACCAGCCCATGAGGCGGAATCTCAGCCTTTTGAAGACTTCCACACACAAGGGTTTGGTGAACATGTCCGCAAGTTGATCTGCGGTGTCCACTTTGACCACCTCGAGTTCCCCTGGCTTCAGATGTGCTCTGAACCAGTGGACCTTGACATCATAGAACTTGGACCTTGGAGTGCTTTGTCCAGGCTCCAGGTTTGCCAGAGTCAAGGCTCACATGTTGTCTTCCCAGACAGTGGTCTTGAATGAGGTCAGGCACTCTTCCTTGATGCCTAGTCCTGCGGCTACAGTCTGGACAGTACGCCTCAAAGGCAGAACTTCCATCATGCAGGTCGAC